CAGCTTTAATCTTAATCGCTAATTCCCTTTAGCAAATAATTAACTCTGAGTTGAAACGGTGCAGTCAGCCGAGAAACAGGCAGAAAAGGAGATAACTTGCCAATAATAGGGACTGCATGGTGTTTTGGTATTGCCACACTGGTCATGCCATAATGGAACAGGTGTTCGGTCATGCTGTCCGATGCGAGCGTCTCTCGTGATTCCACTTTGCCTTGACCACCTGATAGCTAACTGTCCATTGTAATAATCACCATAAGGTATGAACCCGTTTTTTTGACACAGTGTATAGTTTTCATGAGCAGTTATTGCTGATCATTTCATTTTTAGAGGAACTTCAAAAATGCTTCTCGATGACCGATGTGAAGTTTGTTATGTGCTCGAAAGAATTACTGAACAAAGTTCGTGCCAGTTCAACGCATAGCGGTTCCCTTGTGCAGGTAAATAAACGGTCACCTGTCGGTTTCAATGAAGCAGGGGCACATTGAACTTATTGTTAAAATTTTTATAAGTAAAAGACTCGTGGTTTGTTAGTAACAAGGGAGGCCCTTGAGGCCTCAGAGATATGCAATTCTTTCCTAACGAACTTGGCCTCTTCCAGATTGAGGTGTTGGAACCGAATCTTTATCTGGTGAATTTACTAGTGCTGTGAACACGTGTTTTATTGACCTACTAATGATAAACAGACCAGACAAAATTTGCCTTCGTTTGCAAACGGTGCCAGAAAAGAATTCAAGTACGTGTGCTTCCGCTTGGCTTTTCTTCAGAGAATGATCAGTTGGGCAGTCTTTTAGCACTCTATTGGCTAAATCACATGCTAAGAGTCCGAAGTTACTTTGCTTACTTACTTGACAGCCAAAATAGAAACCCAAGCAACGTGTTTGGTAATATTTGCTTTTATCCCGGAAGATTTCTACTTAATGTAAGATATTTTCTGTACAAAAGCGCGTTCTGCACAGGGGACCGACTGTCGCCTGTTTAGATGACAATCAATTCACTCAGGGAAACAATCTATTCTTCGAACCAAATGCTTTCTGACAAGGCAAAAGCAAATTTCTCATAGGCAGCGGTCTAGCCTTCTTATAGTCGCTTTAATTTGGTCCAACGGAATGGTGCTGCTTTGCACCCATACATTGTATATGCTAAATTGCAGTAGAGCTATGGCCTCTTAGGCGACAGGAAGCAAGGGGGCACTGCAACTGCGCCATGCAGATCCAGAAAAGTGTCGAAAAGTGTCGTTGACTCTTTACATGCTTTTCAGTTTAAAGAAGGGGCCATTATGCGAATCTTCAGCCATGGTTCCCAGAAGCACTTCGCATGCCGAAGTATCAGCCACAGCGAAAACTGAATGCTGTAATTACTGTTCATCGTGGCAGCTCAACGATTGCCCTGCAGTCTTTGGGCTTATTCGTCAGACTTCGTCAGACGGATAATCAGCTACACGCGTGGCAGTTCAAAGAACCGCTTAACACTATTTTGCCCTTTTATTAGTCGACGATTGCAGCTCGTTTCTCGGCTAGTTGTATCTACGCAATGAGGAGTGAATGCTGCCTCAGGGACATAACGATTACACTGATTTTTCAGTTTGAAACCGACCTCTTCTAACTGTGCCACCATAGCTC